TATATAATTGATTAGTAGTATTTCGAGCCAAAACGAGTCGAACACGAACGAACAAAACTTTGTTCGTATTGTTCGTGTTCGGCTTAACTTAGTGAACGAGCCGAATACGAGATTCTTAACGAGCCGACATGAGCTGTTCGCGAACAATGAGCCGTATTGACAACCCTAGTTAGTATCTTATTTACTTGATTTACAAATGAAAATTTATTCATATTTCTAGATAGTACTTTTATTTTATGAATTCATTTATCAAATGTATATGTTATCTGTGGATATTCGTATTGACAACCCTAGTTAGTATCTTATTTACTTGATTTACAAATGAAAATTCATTCATATTTCTAAATAGTACTTTTATTTTATGAATTCATTTATCAAATATATATGTTATCTGTGGATATTCGTACATTAAAATCATAGATGTATAATAAACTATATCCACATAGGAAAAGACTCACTGAAAAGTTCTTAAACAGTGTTGAGACATTCATACAGACGACATCTCAACTTTCGACTTACCTATATGAGGGTAAGTTTTTGTGTTTATATTCAAAATATAGGAATCAAACATACTTAATGACTTAATAAGTCATATATGATTTATATCATTGGGAATTTCAACCCAATTATTATTCAACTTCAAATACATGACAAGGTTGAGTATTTACTTATCTATGCTCTTTTATTGAACAATGATCCTCAACTAGAGTTTGACTCAAGCAGACTTATAAAAATGGTTTTCGATGGAACAAGACCTTGTTTTCCGAGTTAAATGGAGGAAGAGACACCAAACCAAGAAATTCATGTGTTCATGAATTATTGAATGCGGCACAAAGACTACTGGGAAAGTTGTACATCTAGTTTGAGTTTTCTGTTGATCTCATAATGTTAAAAATTAAAAAAACAATTTAACATTCCACAAGTGTATTTCATTCAGTTTGTATGATTACTGAAATAGGCGAAACCTAAAGAGAATTTAGTTCCACAAATTTTATAAAAAAAAGTCTCCAGCTTAGGTTTGAAATCATGAAAGATTGATTATTTTATAAATAGGTGCATCTTATTTCGTAAAGTCGATGCAACAGAGAGTTAGTGTGATTCAAACCTCATAATAAGAAAATATTAAGGGATAGAAAGATGTTTCATACAAGCATCTGTTGTAGCTATCACTTACTTCGCATATTCAATACATTTTTGGTTCTATGCGTACTACTCCATGCATGAGGTAACATCATAGCAGATCGGACGAAATCAATTCATTGAGTCATCTTATAGATGAAGAAGCATGAAATTTTTTTGAGCTTACATATTTTAAATTTGCTACGGAGTAACATAATATTAGGCTTAAATTATGTTCTCAGGCTTGAATTATGTTCTTATGTTCTTATGTTCTTATGGCTTCATAAAGCCATATTGATCTTGCTCTCGTCATAACATGACTCAAAGAAAGAATTGCTCTCGCCATAACATGACTCAAAGAAAGAGCAGATCAATGCAAGCCATCCCTTGGGTGCCCTTGAGCTTGCTCATCGGAAGCTCAGAACTAGCCATAACACACTCAACGGAGCATCCTGAAGGATAATCTTGTTAAGAAATGAGCTACCTATCGAATTACAGTGATACACCATTTGTTTGATAGCCCAGCCATACTCTGCCTACTGGAGTTCATCATCCTAGAATATGTTCTCGACATTCAAACTAGAAATAGCCAGACAACAAAGCTAAGCCAAAGGAGCTTATACTTAACGGCCCATAGAACATCAAATGTAGTTCGGCTACCCCGATTCAACACAGTCAGATAAGCAGATCTTGTCAAACCAAAGCCCATTGATGGAGTCTTATGGTAGCCAAGTTTTGAATTGACCGATTATGAGCTGGGGAATATTAACTAAATATTTATATACAAAGGAATAAATTTATGTTATTTACATTAATTTTGACATTAACAATTTTATAAGAAATTAAATAGAAATTTACATGCATATGTTGATCTCACTTTCCTATTGACTATTCCTAGAGAACTAGAAAAGGAACTCTCATAATTAGAAATTCTACACTCCTCTTTGCTCAACTTGAAGTTTCACATATTGATCCTAACTTCTAGCACTTAGTAGGTGGGGTCAATATGAGGAAGCTCAAGATGAGTCCCCATAGGACTGACTGACCTTAGGGTTGACCCTGGGTGTTGGTCTGGAGCTACACTCACTCTCACCCACAATCACTCACAACCCTAAGCTAAAAAATTGTTGATTTTGATCCCTTGATCTTTTGGGAAACTCATGTAGATGGTTGATACACCTAAAATATATAGTATTTTTAGATACATTTTTACACCTATTTTTGAGATATTGCGCTTTAGTTGAAGGTATTTTTGTGTTTTTCTTTTAAGTACAGCTAAAAAGGTGAAAAATGCTTAAAAGAGTGAAAAAGGATCAAATTTATAGCAAATAGGTGAAAATTATGCTAAAGTGTTTTGGCGCTTAAACGCCAGATCTGACGCTTAAGCGCCAGTTAAACAGAGAAGGCGCAAATTTTGATTTCTAGAAACTATAACTGCAATTTAGTTAGAATAGCTTAAGTGTCAGAGACAGTTATTTGACGGTTTTCTTCATTTGGCCAAATTTTGAAGAGGTATTTGAGGCACCTATTGGATTAATAGGTGGTTTTAACCATCAAGGACGAAAATATTTGTGCAAGGAGGGATCTATTGGGGAAATACATCAAATCAA